AACTGAAATTTAATGCAAATGTAATCACAGAAGTTTTATACTAGTGCCTCTTTAGAGGCATTAAGAGGACTTTCTCTACGCTATGCAACTCTATCAAACATTTTCCAGTCAACCAATTATTGTTGCTTAGACATAAGGTGTACTACTAGATAAATTAATAGATATGTTGCTGAACATCTACCTTCATGGTTGGGAAAGGGACAGATAAAATCCATCACGTGTTCTGTTTTATCTTATCTCGTCGGTAGTGCTCATATGATAGGTAAGAACAATACTCTCGAGATCACCAGCCGTAAACCACTTAATCTTTCGAAAGGTACTCGGATTCATCTTTTATACCACATAGCAGAAGGTGTGGAAACCCGAATTATGAATCCTAGTCTTTATATCCAGAAGAATTTCGTATATCCGTTATCCCTCCCTTGATCAATAAATACTTAATGAACAACAACTTGTCATCGAAATTTCTTTTATCCCTTTCTTATTCTTCACCCCTTTCATATACGTACTGTATTTATTTAGACGCAGTTTATCCGCTTACTTCGTCCTTCAGTATTACGTAACGTTTATTTATCCAGGCTTTTCACCCACTTTGATTGTCGGAGTGACCACATTTTCATGCCATTCTCTTGGTTCTTATCATCATTATTATCTATATTACAACTGCTTTAGTTGATGATGTCAACGTTATCACTTTTTTATTATCACCATTGCTGTTTTAAAACAGTTATCACACTATTTATTGATATACTTGTAATTCCCATTGTTTTATTGAATCGAATTGTTCGACCTCTATTGGCATATAGGCTCCTATGCAGATGCCTCGATATTGCCTGTCAATTAAGGTAATTTAGTTGACTGTGGCTACCCGTTGTACAAGAAGTGGCTATCGTTGTTCCATGGAATAGTAAATAACGCCTTGGTGTTTGAAGCGATGGGTAGGAGGTTTGAATCTGTGGGAACAACATCACCCACTGGAATGCAGGTACATTCAGCTGATGAAACGCGTGTCTTATATTCCTCTGCTGGCCATGACCAAATAAATTACAGTTATCACACTGACTGTCATATATATATATATATATATATATATATATATATATATATATATATATATATATATATATAATGATTGAAAGTGAAGTGAAAATTCGGGTCGTGGCATGATTCGAATCAACGACCTCCGCGTTACCGAACCGGTGCTCTAACAACTGGGATACGAGATTCAGTTGCTGACTAGATCTTAAGTTCACTTCAGTCACCAAGGATTTTGCCCGACCGCCATGTGAATTCGTGATGTATCACAGTATCACGATGAGAATTCAGCATATTATTAATAGCAAAAACTTTTAGAAAAAAAATAACACAGTTTACCACTAACACTCACATAAAACAGAAACTTAGAACCGTAGTTTCATGTAAATCTAGTAGAATTACCAAACAGGGAGCATGATTTAGAGTATTTAAACCAGATATGTATAAAAACACAAGCGAAAGATCTTTACACCTACACTATTGTTATTAGAACACAAACATGGTACAGCAAGGGCACCAAGAAATATCCCACACGAAATAACATAACAGCAGTTTGAAGACATAAAGCGATGGGAAGTGGATAGTAAGAAAGAAAAGCATAATAACTACAGCATGACTATAAGGACAGTCCAGATAGATACATTCGAAACAAAACATTCATTACGCGTGAGTAGCAGAAGATATAAGGAAGCTACGGTATGGCCACCACTGGTTTTAATTCCGAGCCATATCTGATAACGTCTCAAGCCACTGAGTTGCGTGATCGCTCGGACCCTACTCAGGGAATCGTTATGCACCAACAGATGCTAACCTGATACAACTATCCCTCATCTCACATAGCCATGTAATACACTAAACATCTTTCATCCAGTCCCAGGGTTAGGAAATAATGAAAGGTGTAGAAGCCATTGGGATAACACGTGTGACATGTTTAAGCCACCGAACCCGTGTTTCCAGATAAGTTCGATCATTGGATGACGATCTCCATCATGCCCAAACACACGCTGTCGTACCTCAGAATTACTAACATGGTGCTACCACTAGATGCGAGCAATCCTACGGAGACAACAATGATCGAACACTGAAGGTGGCCCAGATTGGCGTATACCACTCTAGCTCTCGAATATGCGGTTGAAAATTTCATCCCAACTACCCAGATACACTAACGTTTCGACTACTTCTAACGGCTCATTACAGAGGGTGAGCGCAGGCAGACTTTCCTGACAACCCTGCAAAAGTACTTTGCACTGCAAAGGTGCAAAATGCACACCATACTTAAGGACACTGATCACCAACTGATTATGTACGACTTGAGGGGCCTGTATTATCGCGCAGTAAGACGATATCGTCCGCATATCCAAGGTCTAATAGCTGTTCTACGAAGAGTAGATCTACACCATCACACATCTTCAGAGCTGTCTCCGGAATGTCATCGATGGCAAAGTTAAAGCGGAACGGAGAAATCGGGCAACCCTGCCTAACCCCACACCTGGTTTGGAATAATGGAGACAGATGGTTCTACGCCCTCCCTCTACCCTACGTGTTATTACATAGGGATTTTAAGATGTTAATAAAATTTCCAAGCACACCCCTATCCCACAGACAATTCCAGAGTACAACTTTCTCCAATAAATCAAAAGCAGCCATAATGCCAAGAAACACAACAATGTTGGTCTGCAGTACGTCTGGTGATGTTCAAGCATCTGGTGGAGGGCGAACACATGACCAACGCATCCACTTTACACCCATAAAAATAAAGAATATAGAAGTATACGGTTCAATACTACACGGTAACACAAACACCCAGGGTACCGACATTACCAAATTGTTACGCTAAAGTAGCAGCTACGCAACCACTGAATAGTAAGTCACAAATTGGAGCTGTGACTCAGTCGTCTAGGCACTCAACTTTTGACCGGTGAGTCACGGATTAAAATCATGCTCTATCTATCGCAATTTGGAAATCTAGGAATTGTCATTGGCTCTTACACAAGATGCACAATCATTGTCCAAAAGTAATAGCAGAGGTGCACGTGGATATAAATCTTAGTGGACAAGCACATCAAAGGACAATTGGACAGAAAAGAAGCACTCCGCAAGGTGAGCACGGTTTCAGAAATGACATATTCCGTGCAATATTTTGGCAGCCTGTGGCAAGTTGACGGAGTGCCAGGACCTACAGGTCCATGTTTACATGACTTTTCTGGACCTGGTTAAAGCCTTGATACAATCAAACACGACATCATCCCACTGGAAATTTCTTAGTCGGGATTGTTTTTTAACCACTACCATGAAAGGGTGGTTAGTCGGTTAGAGAATTCCGAATTGAAGCCAACGGGGTATGCTCAACTTGGGCAGCAGCGTTCGGAGTCCCATAAGGAGCCATTCTGGGTCATTAGTTGTTCATTCTTTTGGTGAAAAGACTTTCGTTAAGTCTAAGCTATCCAGTTCTTCTTTAAGCTTATGGTATTGAGATCAGTGAGATACGAAAGGGACTCGAGTATAAGAATTGTTCTCCACTCCTTTCCAAGTACTTACATTTTTCATATAACCACTGAAAACGATTTCGGTCAAACCTTCACAGAAAGCCTGAATACCAGCTAAAATTACTTAGGAGACGCCTACAAGGATGAGCAGTATTACACTTTTCGAGCAGATAATTATGTGCCCTCATCCAACAGCTTTCTAAAGCTATAAAAAAACTTACGTTTGCCTTCATCTTGAGGTCTATGACGTTGTTGCACCAAAACAACTGAAGTGGCAACTTCTTGATGTCGTAAGGATACGGCAAAAACTGTACGAAGAAGCACTAACGAACTTTGATCTTAATTTCAAGATACACGACTTGATGACAGTCTACGAGATCGGAAATAACTCGAGACAACCAGAAGAATGATAAATTATCCGAAAATTACAATGGGGACCCTCATAATGTCTCGAACAGAATAGCACATCAAACAGCGAAAACGTATATGCAATCACACTTCTCCATGGGTTTCCAGTGACTGAAATGTACTACCAGCTGATATAGCCAGTTTCCCCTGTTCACAGCTTTTGAAAATTCAGACAGCTACGCAGTGAAAAACGGATTGCGCTCATCCAGTTGGGATGTGGAAAAGGCTGAAGGGACTATTTGGCATCACAACAGTCCTTAATTCTATTTTGCCTTCATGATGATCCTTCTCTATTTCTCCTATTACTACTGACACGGACCAATCATCTACTTTTCTATAATGACTACCAGAGTTGAGGGTAAGTGACTCGAACCAGGGCAGAGAAATCCACCAAAGACTTGAGTCCGTTTTGCCAGATCTAGAAGCAACCGTTGGTAACCAAGTAAATAGCTGTTATTAACGTGAAGACTAAAAAATCCGGATACAATGTATTTTCACTTTTATTCCCAAGAACTTATGTCCACACCACTAGCCCTTTGACTTGTTTCATTTCAAATAACAGGAAATATAAGTACATTGCTTATCGACGAGGACTGGGCACTCATTACGCATGGATTGTTTTCACGGGTCTACATATGATCCATGAAAGTATAACCTAACATATATTGTATGTACCTTCATAGAACAAGACTTCAAGAAAATCAACAAACACACTCTAAAAAAAGCATTACGTTGAATCGAGTAGCTTTTCTATAAGGATATCCATAGTTTTCATTTATAGGGATAGTAGACCAGCCAGTTGGCCTCGATTAAACCTTGTAAGAATATGTTGACCGAAGAAGCTCATATCAACTGCTGAGATTGTAAGATTCAATTTTTGAGGATTATGTGTGAGAAGCGTCAGCTTAATTAAATTCCACTGGACGGTGGATGAGGAATCTTTTATAGTGGCTTCGCGGATAGTCGGTCATTACGGCAAAAGAATGTTAATAGTGAATCTAGAATTCTCCCGTATTACGACAACTGAGACGGATTAATTTACTTTAAACGGCTAACAAAGGATAGACTAACCGAACTAGTCACTAACTCAGTATCGACTCTCTGAAAAAGCTCAAGAAAAACGTACACACGTATCTCAAGCTGATTAGCGATGCCATATACACACAAAAACAGTTAAAAGTTAGCTGGAATGCAACTATGATTACAAAGAATACACACCTATGGGAGATCAAAATCCTGGTGAGAGCATAACGAATACGAATAACCAAGTAGTGGTTCATACCATAACGACCGCCATTTAGACCCAATGTGCAGTAGCTATTATCTGTCAATAAATGGTACGAAATGATTTCTTCCTTTATACTTCACGTCGCATCATCAAAAACAGTTTCCAGACTTCCGATGACTACGATGAATCAAACCGAACTTTACACCTGCTGTACCGCCTTCGAAGCCAGCGAGTAATCGCATGTGGGAGGGTAGAAGATATATTAGTCAGAACCCGTCCGAACTGCTTCTATGATCTCCAACAATCATATCACCCACAAAGCGCTCAGAAAATTCCGAAAATACGAGCGGTTTCATTCGCGACGGGAACTAGATCTCCTTCGCGTGTGTCGCATACCAAACCTCGTTTACAAAGACAGGCTTTTCGAAGACCTAGGTACTAGGAGGCATCAGATACCAAACTATCCAAATAACCAGGAATATCGTGACGTTGTTTCACTTTCAAATACGCGAAGCACCAACTGTAGTTCTTGTGCAGGCCACCAAAAATGGCTTCAGAGTTTTGAGCGACGTTGAAACTTCGTGGCTTACCAGTAAGGCAACCCAGGACAGTGTAAAAAGCTCCACCACTTTTCCATGGGAATTAAGGATGAGTGGTAAACACTCAGGCGGATCAATCAACCGCCGACTTAAATTTTTAAATGGGTAGGACTCTTCAGGAAATTCGGGGACGTCACTCCACGTGGATTGGATAGATCAGCACCACAACTCGACAACAAGATGACGAATGAGAATCTAGTCGCAGGAGGCATATGTGAAGTGATTATGAAGACATCCATCAGGCTTTTTGGCCCAGTTTAGGCCTAATCCAAACCTCCTCAAGAAGCTGCTGAAAAATGGAAACTAGTGGGCACTAAGGCCAGGTGGTAATTTCATAACGTCGAACGAGACTGAACTGTTCAATTGCTGATGACGAAAAAGGTAAGAATCGAGAGGGAGTAGCATACCATGTGGCCAGAACTGAGGCTAGGGCCACCTTTTTTCAATAGGAGAATGCGTTCTACGAGGTGCATTACCGTAGAGAGTAGAAGTAACCCCGCCTAGAAGATATAAAAGAGACTGCTGGATAAGTAGGTTCACAAACCTGGTTAAAAACCAACAAGGGCAGGGGATGGCTGGCGTCAGTAAAACAACAAAAGACACAAATGTTATCACACAATAGCTTCTCAGTGTTGACTTGTCACTGTTATACATTACACATTTCTCAAAATGTCAGCTTCCAATGCACAGTGCATATCCGTTTTCAGTAGCCCGCCTCCATTTCACTCTGTTCTCTGCGGCCTTTTGAACCTGGCTCCACCACTACCCATAAACTTTCATTTCTTCCTCATACAATCACCTCCATGCCTCTCCCGGAGGCCCAACTCTTCGTTTCCCCTTTGGCTTTCACTCAAGGACCTGGCCTGGCCTGGCCCGGCGCGTCGTGTCGTGTCCCGAAATCATATTTTCAGCCCATGCCAAACTCATCCCACCTTCTTCCACTGCACATTTGTTGGGCGATGGGTCCTTGGTTGGTCCGTTGCCAGACCAGAGTTCCTTGTTGCTTCTCATTATTATTCTGGCCATCTGATCTTCAGTATCGAGTGAGCGTAGGCATCTGTGGACGAATGTCTGTGGTTCGTTGGAAATACTTTTCGTAAGTCACCAAGTCTCTCGCCCATCACGCGGAAGCACTGCCTTACTTGACTGATGTTAGTTCTGAAAATCCGGATGTTGTTCACGCTTTATGCTGAGTGGGGTCGAGTGGAGTAGATCTCCACACTGGTTTCAGGTCAATGAAGGAAGCCCCGTCTCACTGTCTTTCCGATCCTGGCTTTGACATCCTCATCTGTGCCTGTGCTGCCTAGGTAGGTAGGCAGGTGGATGAGACAAGTTCCTTTAGGTTTCTCCCGTTGATGATGATTGGTGCCCGTTGTTGTTGTTAGTCGGGTATCTTCATCACCCCCATCTTCTCTACGTTCACCTGAAGTCCCGTCTTCACTGCCCTGCCTCTTCTGCCAACTTGTTAGTTTTCGTCTGTAGATCTTCGAGTTTGTGAGACATTAGACACAAATCATCATCGGTGAAATCCAAATCTTCTAAGGTCTTCACATAGGTCCAGCTGGCATATGCCCATCTTCTCGTTCCTCACGGTTTGTTGCACGGTCCAGCCGGGTCGAGTCGGCCACAATCAGGAAGATCATCGGTGATGGTGGGCGGCCACCTTGTCTCACTCCTGTCCGCACTTCAAAGGCATCGCTGGGCACTCCGTCGTGAACCACTTCTCATGTAGCACCGCACAGTACATAGCTGTTGAATGAGACCGAGAAAGGTTTGCGGTACTAAGACCGCAGTGTTGAAGCAGCGGCTGCGGAACCACTTCTCGGTCGACGCTGTCGAAGGCCTTTTCGAAATGATGAAGCTGAGGTGGGGTTGAGTTGACTGCCATTCCACGCTCTGCTGTATGACAATGCATAGGGTGGCGTTGCGATTTGATCCGCACATACTTTGTTTTTCTTGAAGCTAGTCAGCCTCGCCCGGTGGCAATTTTGAGTGCAGAGCATTGTTTGGTCTCTCCAGGATGATATAGCCTAATATTTCACTTGCAGTGGACAGGAGCATGATTCCACTCCAGCTTTTGCAAAGACCCAGGTCTCTCTTCTTTGGGAGTTTGACAAGGTAGCCCTTCTTCCGATCGGCAGGTACCTTTGCCTCCCTCCTTCCTTCCCTCCTTGCAAAGCCCCCGGAATAGTGGTGTGAGCATGTCCGCTGTTGTCTCTGCGTCTGCTTTCAGTGCTTCTGGCGGAGTTCCATCTGGTCCTTCTGCTTTCCCGAATTTCAGCAACTTTGTGGCGTGCAGGACTCCGGCTTTCAGTCGGAGGGTTTGTGTTCACTGATAGTTCTGTGGCTGGGATTCTGATGGTATTTCTGGACGAGTTGCAGGTGGTGGTCGATTCAGGAGTTTTCTGAAATGGTCAGCCCATCGTTTCCTCTGTTCCCCCTCTTTGGTAACTAAGTTTCCTACGCTATCTTTTATGGGTTTCATTTGTGTTGATCTCTTCCGAGATGGTGACCTAGTTATTTGGTATAATGTTGTCAGGTCTCTGTCTCCCTTGCCTGCAGCCTGTTCTGCTTCACTTGCCAGTGCGTCGTAGAAGTGTTTTTTGTCTTTGGGCGCACTCTTCTTCCCTTCTTTGTCCATAACCCTCTTCTGTTTCCACGCATCTGATGTAAGCATTGGAAGACTATATAGAATACGAAAGAAAGTAATCCGCGATAGTGCTTCTCACTGCCAACCGTCCAGGGACGTTTTATGTGATGAAGATCAAAGAAACGAGCATCTGTTGAACGAGCGTACAATCTCCGAATCAACCAAAGCGTGGGGATGTATATTACTGCTGCGCACGACAAATGGCTTTCAGATGTAATGTATCTACTCAACATGATTGGGACACGTGTATAGCTGTCCTTGGCTATTTGAAACTGATATATTGTGAGACCAAGAAATTCCTTCTGAAGTCTGGTAAGGATTCCCAAGAATTTACGGAAGTCATGCTGCGACAATACTTCAGATAATCGTTTTCAGAAGATTGTGGTCGATTTAGGAAGGTTTTCCGTTGGCGACATATCATAAGTAGAACCATTAATCATCAACTTGGTGACACTGAGTTCATAAACGTTACTCAAGGATCGTTAGGACACCATTAGCACCGTTAAGTTGTTGCTAAAAGGTTATCAGTGGTAAAATTCTTCTGGAGTCTGAGGCCGGCGGGCCGACGGGCAACAGAACGGCATACTCTAAGCACCCGCCACTCATATCCAACAAGTCTCATCACTGCGAGGGAGAACTGAGCTCCCAGCACTGCGTAAGTATCCCGAATGACGCAATGTTCATTGAATTCATCAGGTCTAGAAAGCACCGGCGCTGACAGTCTAGCTTGAAACGGTTTCAAGAACTTTCTGTGATGTAGATGGAAAAGGTGAACGAGGTTTATCCCTGCCCAAACCAGTAGAGGGCGGGGTCCTCCAAATTTCTACTTTAGGTTAACTTCTTTTCGTCAGCTGCGCTAAAGATTTCCCGGTAGGTTCAGGTCTTCCGTTCTCATGTTTTCAGGCTACTGCCAAACCCCGGAGCATCACTAATGGGAGTGTGGATAGGATGATCCTACTGGAAAACATAGATGCTCGGGTCGACAGATCTACAAGAAGTCCCTTAGAAGTCAGTAAGACTGAAGCGTGCCAACGAAGCTCGAGAAAATGATCCAAGAGGTTACTTCATTGACTAAACGCCCCTGTCCGAATTGATTGAATGGAAGGAATAAGATGCTGTGGTCAGTTATGTCCTAAAAACATTTAGTGGTAACTTCTTAAATGTTATAGTAGTGTGATCTATTCTTTAGGCATTTTAGATTTGTGGTAGGGGTTTGTCTTGGGTTTGTGCCCGAGGCGGGTGTGGGACCTTAGTCACAGCATGGGAACAAAACAGCGAGCCCACTGTTCAGATACGAAGCTAACATACTGGCATTAGTTTGGAGATGTAGGGACAAGGATTGTCAAGTTGCCTTTAAAAATTCGATTGTACAGAACAGCTGAATAAATCAGGTTTTCCAAGCCTTATCACAGGTTAGGGAGTAGCATAAAATTTGCGTACCAGATGTACAAGCATACATAAACGAATAACATTTCCCGATGATCAGCGTAGGGGATGAATGTCTTATTCAAGACGCTAAATAGTCATTACCCACGACAGTTAATGGAAGACAACATCAATAAGAAGAAATACGAGCCAATAGGAAAGATAACTTGGGGGAGGTAGGGGTGATGCCATATATAAAATATACACCAGAAACAATCCAAAGAAACCTCGGAAAAACTGGTATTTTCGTGGTATTTACCATGATGAATTCGAATAAATTAAACCAACCAAAAGATCCGTTCTAAAAGATGGAGAAGAATAATGGGGAATATGAAATACCGTGTGCGGGCTGCCCAGTAGGCCATGTACGACGATCGCCAAGGTCGTTGAAA